AACATATCTGGTTTCTCAAACCCAAAAATCGTCTTTGTCATACAAGCATGACTTTTTTAAAAAAGCCTATGTTTGGTATGCAGAGATCTAGTCCTGCATCCTTGATCAAATGATTTCAAACAATAAAGAAAACCAGTTTTGTCTTTATGGTAAAAGTTTGAATGTGAGAATTTTGCTTGTGACAACTGATTTTTGCCTAAATTTTCTTATTACTATTACAATTTATATAGATTCATAAGTATAGAAATAATTTCAAAAACAAACAAATAAGCAAATTCTGGAAAGAAGAAAAGCATGCCAGTTAAATTGCTTCACAACAAATAGGCCATTAAAATAAAAGACAACCAATTATGTAGATTTGGATTACTGGCAATAACTTAGAAGTCTTAAGAAATTTAACTTCAGCTCAAACAATTAAACAGAATTACTGAGGAGAAAATCATCCCTTAGACTCAACATAGCTCCAGTATCAAGGAGAACAAGAAGGCTTACTGACTTCCTGACCCTTCTGTTCCTGAGTTCCCTTAATATCACATCAGATAGAAAATATTAAGTGACAATATAATATATAAGAAAAACTTATCCTAAGTGGGCATGTATTTTATTTATGTAATTAAAAAATGAGAGCTGAGCCTTCAATTAATAGTAACTAATCTCAATGTCATTTGTTGAACAACAACCTGTAAAACAATAATGAAACACCTGAAAAAAAAATAGAGAAAGCAATTCTACTCACAACAGCTTCAGCAAAATTAAATAGCTAGGAATTAACCTAACCAAACACATAATAGACTCCTATAATAAAAATTATGGAATGCTGAAGAAAGAAATTGAAGAAGATATCAGACAATGAAGAGATCTTTCTTTCTATCTTTATCAGAAGAACTAATATTGTTAGAATGAATGCATTACAAAAAGTAACTTATATTGCGGGACTGTCCTGCAACAATGTTGTATGTGGTTACATCTCTGGACTTATGTGTAAATATATATAATTCTTTATTCCTATTTTTAAATATATTTTAATTTTTTAAATTTTTTGTCATATTCTGTAGGGACTTAGTTTAACATATCAATACTTTATGAAAAATACCTGTTCCATATTATGCCTAAGATGTTTGATATTCAGACAGATAGTGAGGTTAAGCTCAACAGCCTAGGTTGCATGGTAATAACAATAAGCTTGTCTTCTGGAGGGTTAACAACCTAAGTTTGCAGATCAAAATTAGAGAAAAAAGAGGGCCACAAGGAAAGCCAACATTTTGGCCCCAGCCTTCCAAGGTCAATTAAGACTCAGGACATATGAGAACTTATACTGTAACGTCATGTAACTCAGTAGTGTCCTAAATTTTCTGATCAAGATTTTGGGGCCAAAGAGGAAAGTGATCAATGATGTAGAGTGTGCCTAAGGAGAGTCACAAGGAGACAGACTTTCACAGAGAGCACATTGGCCAAGCAATGACCATGACTCATCCACATGGCTGACACTGACAAAGGTTCTACAATCTGAGGTACAGGATCTCAGGATAAATCCTGAAGGAATTTCACTGACCTTATCAGACCCAAAAGCTACAACTCTTGTTGCATAGGTCCTGCTTTACTTTGGTCTTAACCATCCAGCAGAAAAGTATAAAAATGAAATATAAGAAGTAAAGCCATGCTGTTATGTTGAGCTGTAGGGAACTCAGGTCAACAATTTCTGACATTGCCGGTCAGCTGGAAGACCCAATACTATTAGGGACTACTGGACTATTTTGGAATATTTTGCTGAGTTCACACACCTATAATATTTAAATGATGGAATTAAACAAAAAGGGGATATAAATGAATAACCATTTTGTATCTGTGTATTCAAAATGATTAGGACAGATATATAGCTACATTCTCTTAATTCAAGGAATAGAGGGATTTGTTCTAATAGTGTTTGTAAATAGGATATCATGTCTACATCTTGTACAAGAAATAACCACTAGGAAGGCAATATGCAATGTGTTAATTACTGGAACTGTCCTACCAATTCAATTTGAAACTGTCTTATTGCTATTTATTTCTCAATAAAATTATGGGGAAAAAAAAGCAATCTATAGATTCAATGAAAATACCAACAGTGTTTTCCACAGAGCTAGAGAAAACAATCTTGAAATTCACATCATATTATATCAAAAAGACTGAGAGTGGCCAAAACAATCCTGAGAAAAATGCACAATGAAGGGGCCAGGGAGATGGCTCAGTAGTACAAGCACTTCCCTGGCAAGTGCAAGGGCCTGAGTTCAATCCCCAGTTCCGGGGAAAAAAAAAAAACAAAAAAACAAAAAAACAAAAAAAAAAAGCCCCACAATGTTGGAGGCATTACAATAGTGCAATTTAAATTATGCAACAAAGCCATACTAACAAAAACAACACGTCAATGGAATAAGCACTTGCCTGGTAAACACAAGGGCCTGAGTTCAATCTCCGGTTCCGCAAAAAAAAAAAAAAAAAAAAAAGAACTTACTGGGGCCAAAGAGCTGGTTCAGTGGAATAAGCACTTGCCTGGCAAGCGCAGTGGCCTGAGTTCAATCCCCAGTTCTGCAAAAAAAGCAAAAAAAAAAAAAAAAGCAAAAGAAAATAACAACATGGTGCTGTCAAAAAAAACCTGACATAAAGGTGAGTGGAATAGAACAGAAGATAGAGCAACAAACCCATGTATCTACAGTTATCTGATTTTTGATAAAGGAGCCAAAAATATATGTTGGAGAAAATAGACTTCTTGACAAATGGTGCTAGGAAAACTAGACATTCATATGCAAAAGATTGAAACTAGATCACTATCTTTTATCTTATATAAAATCAAGTTGAAATGGATCAGGACTAAATTTAAAGCCCATAACCTTTAAAAGTAATAAAAGATAATGCAGGGGAATACTTGAAGCCACAGGCCCATGTAAAGACTTCCTGAATAGGGCTCCTTTGGCATAGGGAACAGTATCAAGAATCAACAAATGGGATTATATTAAATTAAAAAGACTGCACAGTAAAGGAAAGAAACAATAGAGTGAAGAGACAACTTAGAGAATCGGCATATTCTTTACTACTCTCTGATAGAGGATTAATACCTAAAATATTTAAAGAATTAAAGTTACCCAAAAGCCATTAACTCCACCATAAAATGGACAAATATATTGAACAGACTCTTCTCAAAAGAATTTCAAATTGTCAGTAATTATATGAAAAATGTTTAATATCTTTAGCGATTGAAATGAAAATTTAAACTACTCTGAGAATCCATCTCGCCACTGTTGTAATCCTCAAAAACAATAAGAAAGCAAGCGAGCAAAGAAGCAACAAGAAAAACAAAACCAGAATAAATTAGAATTCTATTATCAAGAATAAAAAAAATAGGGGCCAGGGAGATGGCTCAGTAGTATAAGCACTTCCCTGGCAAGCGCAAGGGCCTGAATTCAATCCCTGGTTCTGCCAAAAAAATAAAAATAAAAAAAAAAAATAAAAACAATGAATACTGATAGGGATGTGGGAGACAAAGGAATTCTTTTACATTGTTGATGGGAGTGTAGACTATTACATTTGCTATGGAAATTAGTATGGAGATACCTTAGAAAATTAAAACTATTAATACCATTTGATCTAGCTATACCACTCAGCATATTCCTAAAAAGATTAAAGATGATATATTGTAGTGATACATGGACACCCATATTTATAGAAGCAAAATGTCTGATAGCTAAGAAGATTATTGAATCATAAAGAATAATGAAATCTTGCCATTTGAATTAAAAGAAAAAGATGATATTGGGGACCATCATGTTAAACAAAGAAGCCAGACTTGGAACATTAAATATTGAATGTTTTGTTTTACATAAGAAACATAAAATGTGAATAAATAAATGAATGAACTAAAAGAGAAATGATGAAAACTAGAAGGTAGACTTTTAGAACTAGGAAAGGGGGAAGGAGAATTGGGAGAGTCTAGTTAAGGGATTGAAAATGATCAAGATATATGCATATATCAGTTTCCCAAAATGAACACCACTGGGGCTGGGGTGATAGCTCAGTGGTCTCAGTGCCTGTCTGGCAAGCACAAGGTCCAGGGTTCAATCCCCAGTACCATATGTCATGCTGCCCCTGCCCCAGACCTGCGGAGACAGCCACTGACACCAGGCATGGTGGTACATGCCTGTAATCTCAGCACTAGGGAGGCTGAGACAGGAAGATAAAAAAAAAAAAAAGAAGAAGAAGAAAGAAAGAAAAATCAAACGAGCACCACTTCTTAGAAAAAGAAAAAAAGAATATGAAGGTTTTCTGAAAAAAATACATTCTATATTATAATGAAACAAGTTTTAGTCTTTTATAGTTCCTTTATGAAACAATAGCTTGAACCTGCACTCAATTTGGAAAATTCTTAAAAGGAACCACTACTTTTACAATGCTACATTAACACTCTAAGAAGAAACTTATTAGTTTTCAGCATTCTGCCAGAAGGAACTTCAAGCAGGAACACTGGGGGATTGGTGGAGAAATATGTGTGGTTAAGTTATCATGTAAGGGAATGGAAAAATAATACGTATTATTTCACTGCATTGTTTGCAGGGCATATACTTTGCTCCATGTACTTCAAGAGTATTAAGTCACTTTTGAGCAAAATATTCATGGAGTATTATATGATTAATGAATATCATTGGTGAAATAATGATAGAAATAATCAATGGCTTAGATGGCAAAATTGAGTGAAATCTACATGTGATAAAAAAGACAGAGGAATAGTTTGACCACTATAAGTATCTGTACTCTATCCCATGAATAAACTAAAAGGGAAGCACCTTAAAAAATGAGATAACACTGAAACACATTTCAGTTCCATGTTATAACAGAGTTTCATGTAGTGGTTAGGTATTCATTTAGCTACCAAAAACCCTTTTAAGATAAACATTTTCCAAACCCTAGGTAAATTTATCTTTTTGTAAAAGAGGAATTTGTTAGATTAAGAAAAAAAAAAAACTCACAGATTCTCTTCCCATTTTCTTTTGTAGCCGTGTTTGCCACTGGACAGCTTGCATGACAATGGCCTCCCACCTTCTTTCAAGATTTACGATGATCAACTGCATCGGCTGGTGGTCTGCGCTCAGATTGCAGGTTTCTCGGTCATCCAGAAGATGCTGGCACAACCGAAGGATGGAGGCCACGCCTCTGCGTCGCTGCTTGATTTCACGACAGAGAGACTGAAACGCACAGACAAATTGACCTATGAGTGGTTACAGGGCAGAGTTTCCTAAAATTTGAAACACGCTTCTATCACAATATCAAATTGTAGCCATAAGCTTAGCTATGAACAATAGCACAAGAAGTCTCCTTTAGGTTCAAGGCCACCTATACATAGCTAAGTAATGCTAGAGGACATAACCATGTCTTTTTCCTCTTTCTTTTTCACTGATTTCTCTCTATAACACATAGGTTCTTACCTAGACATCAATGTAATTAATAGTTCCTAACCTAATGAAATAACTCATCTATGTCATGTGAATGCCAAACAGGTGGTCATGATTTGATTCATGTTGAAAAGGAACACAAAATATAGAAACTCCACTGAAAGACAATAGAAATTTTCCAAATATATTCCTAGATTCTTGAAAAGGCAAATAGCTCAGATTTTTATTTTTATTTTAGTTTTTTGTACTGGGGATCAAACTCAAGATATTACACTTGTCAGGCAGGTGCTTATGTCACTCCCTGACCCTAGTTCAGGTTTTTTTTTTCAACTGACTAAAAATAAATTAATTAAGAATGCAAAGATTTTATATATAAAATCTATTACTTGAAAAAAAGGATAAGCAACATTTCTCTTTCAAAGCTTGATTAACAAGGCAATAATGTTCTGAAAACAGAAATTAAGTTACTGGATTATTACTGCACTTTCATTGGTGGCTGTGTTTCTTTTAATAGATATTCTCAGTCTTTAAGAAGGATATACATGTATCAAAATTGCATTTTGTCCCCAGAAGCATTTGTATTGCTGCAGTGACCCTAAACTGAACAATTCAAGCAAAATCGTGGGTACACATGTCTAAAAATATTATACCCCTGCTTTGCCTACGGACAGTGTATAAGTGATATTCTAATTCAAAGCCTTCAGGAGAAATGGTGATTATATCCGCAAACATCACTGCATTACTAATCTCCTTCTACTGCCACAATTGGACTGCTCTAACATTTAACAGATTGCTTATTAATCAACAAGGGTAAACAAGACAATGCAATTTCATTTAGAGTGAGAGTTTTAATGCCTATAAGTATTTGTGCTTAAAATGTTAATCTGGATAAGGCTTCATTAGAAGAAGTCTTAAAATGATTAAGTGCAGTTCATTGAAATGTGCATGGAGTGGAGGAAGTAGATCGGCAGGTGGACGTTTCATATGGATGTTCCATTTATTGATATAATGCATGCTACAGTCATTTAAGTGACCCTAACTCAGTAATAGCTGAAATTCTATTATTCCTATAATGAGAGAACCCTGTACCTTTAATATTTCTGAATTTTAAATAAGGGGAATGACAAATTCCCAAACCTCTATTTATGGCAAAATATGACTAGGAATTTTATTATTCGATTTATACAGCAGTCTCAGTTATGTTTCCTGAATTTATCTTTATTTATTTTCCTAGGGTTCATTACTATTTTGCTATATAACTCCTAATATAACTACCATGTCTGACAAATTTTTTTTCTGATGCTATTCATTAGTTCAGTGCTGAGTGAGGGGAATCCCCTAGACATTCAGTGATAAAACTTGAGGGTCTACTATACCAGCAAGCATTATTTCTGTCTACTATCTCCTCCTCTGCCAAATGTTCATCCTCAATCCACATGCATGTTACTGTCTGCCTGCCTATCTGCCTCTGTCTGTTTTTCTGTCTCTGTCTCTGTCTATCTCTCTCTGTCTGTTTCTGTCTCTGTCTCTCTCTCTGTTTCTGTCTCTGTCTCTGTCTCTGTCTCTGTCTCTCTGTGTCTCTGTCTCTGTCTCTGTCTCTATCTCTCTGTGTCTCGGTCTCTGTCTCTTTCTCTCTCTCTGTCTCTCTCTCTCTGTCTCT